AAAAATATTCTCTTTGAAATAATATTCTAAGAATTGATGTATCCCTATACTATTTTGTTATACTATTTGGTCACTCTTCAACTGGTATCATAATAATAGAATTTCGATATGAACTGTTTCTTTATCAATATATAACGGTTATATAAATGTTTATTAGGATGAATATATCTTTTTTGAATAAATTTTCATAGAAAGAGGATAGAGAAATGCAGTTTTCATTATTCAAAAGAAGAGATAGAGATGCATTGAATTGTATATTGTAGGCATTTCTAGTGTTTTCTTTGAAGTTTGTTTAATCAATTTTGTGAGTGTCAAAAAAGATCAGTTAAAATTTCTATTTAATTCCATATAACTTCTGTTTAATTTATTCTAAGAATATGAACCGTTGTGGAATTGTATAAGTCTTCCTTTAACAGTTTAAACATACAAGTGACAATTGAAAATTTTTTGGAAACATCTTATGGATTAGAGTCGATTGAAAACCTTCGAAAAGTCAGATTGAAACGGCTATAATATACGATTCGATAGATGTTTATCTCCTCTTTCAAACGATAAAAATCCAAGGTATCTATCTTGTTTTTGTCAAAATCTATTCAACAAATATTCACGTTGCCTAATAGGCATTAATATAACCATCACATATTGATAGAGAAAGATTTATAGAAATTCTATTATTATTCAATTAGTTGAACAAGGATTAAATAGCATAGAAAAATAGAAGATTGTTTTTCTCTATCACTCGATAACATAAGAAAATTTCTTCAAGCTTTCTATATGGAAATAAAATAATGATGGCATTAGTTTAGGTAAGCGTTAAGTAGTATTTGATTAATAATTTCTATAAATATTCCTCTTAATTTAATTGATTTCGATGTAATATTTAAATAAATATTTGTATGTTTTTGTTTAGAATAATCTATCTTATTTGAAATGTTTCTCATTATCATGTTTTAATCGAACTAATGCATATGATAATCGATTAATATCTTTAGTTCGTCGTATTATATATTTGGAAAAATAAACGTTTATATATTCGTCTTGAAGATCGATCTAGATTTATTGATGGTACTCATCTATATAATGAAATTCTCATTCATATGTCTCAACTTGATAAATTTAATTTCTATATTAGTACTAAAATTTCAATTGATGATTCAGTTTATCATTTATCAGATGATAATATGCAACAAACATTTAATAATATAGGTTATTATAAAACATCTTCTTTTGTTGATTATTATTCTTCATCAAATGCAATATCTAATGTTTTTTCACTTCCATTTATATTTAATCGTCTTGAAATGATCACCAAGAAGTTTCCATCGTTTAATATTTTCTCATGTTATTTATTTGCAAGTAGTTAATACAATTCAATTCAATTATAGTTTTTTCATTCGAGTTTCTAAAGGTTTTAGATTGTTGAAATATTTAACTATTATTAATATGATGTCACCATTATGGAATTTCGAAGAATATCAATCTGATTATATTCAATCAAATTCAATTATTAGATTTCCTCATCTTATTTCACTTAATATGAATAATTTAGATAAATATTATATTGAACAGTTTTTACTTGATAGAAAAACTCATGTACCACATTTAATCGAATTGAAACTATCTTATAGAAATTTGAAAAATGTAACAAAGAATTTTACAAGAAATACAACACAAAACAAGTGTGCTAATATAAAACGAATAAACTTTTTCGACAAAGGTGATTATCGAAATAAACTCTGTCTATTTTCCTTCGTTAGAGATTGTTTCTTTTTCTATTATTTGATAAAAATAATTCTGCTAAAAATTCTCATATTATATTCTTGATATTATGAAATTAAAATAAAAATCAATTATTTAAATAATTCTCCTCTCTTTCTCTCTGGATTTCTAGAAGAAACTTCTTCTAAGTAAGATAGTTTAGTTTATTTATTTTTACAAAACAACAACTAATTATTATCAATATTTTAAAATTTCTAAACGGTTAACTTGGACATATTTCTCCTTCTTCTTCTCCTTAACTAGCTAATCACCTATTTTTTTTTCCTTCGTTTTCCTTAAAGTATTATGAAACTCAATAATTGAAGAACTCGTTAAAATCGAAATTTTCAATATCTTTTTTATTTAGTCACTTATTCTTTATGATTATAGATCAAAACTGCTTTGTCGGATTTGATTTGATCCGACTGAATTTTGTTTGAAGTTCACAGAAGTTCAAAATAAGATTTGTTAACTAGATATTATCATAATGACGATTATCCCAATATGTTTTATCAGTTGGATCTGACTGATGAAATCTTATTCTACAAATCCACCAATTTCAGACAGGATTCAGCTGAATTTTGTCAGACTGGACTAGTTTTATGATAAGATCGAAGAATTGGATAATTTCTCCTGGTGCAACTATTTTTCATGTGTCCTTTTATCAATAAAAGATTTCTAATAAAAACTTAACTGTTCTAGGATGATTGAAATCAAATTCTAGCATTATATCAGATTTTATGTCTTTAAACGAAGCTTTATATTCGTATGTTTGAACTTATTGTCAATGATTTCTTTGTTGGTAGTTGAATGCAGTGTTATGTTAGGTGTTGTATTGACTCATTATCTAATAAATATATTCTATGAAGCGAAATAAGTTAAATAATAACTGTTATCGAATAGACATTTAACATAGAATGAATTTTTTATTAGACGAAAATAGTCAACAACGAGAATCTGTGTTATTTTCTATCTTATTGTATCTTTAACAACTTCGTTTTCTTTTCTGTTCAAATAGATTTATGTTCTTTTCGAAAATTTTCATAGAGATACAAAAATCTGCTGATAAAACCAAAAATTTCTACTTTAGTTCCGCTGTTTTAATGCCAGAATTATGTAGATACGAAATAAATTCCACACGTAAGTTTATTGATAGATATTAAAAGAGAATTGTCGAATCTCTCTAACAACCACTGGACGAGAACTACCACTCAATCTATTACAAGTTACTCAACGGATTTTACCATTTTTCATGCTGATTCCGGCAATAGATAGTACGATTAAACTTATATATATATATATATGTCGTATCGAAGTTCTAACTTCTATAAATTATTTCATCGAAGTTACAACTTGAATAAAGTGAAGTTATCGAAGTTGTTTGGATGAAATAAAATAGGGAAATTGTTGATTATTTCAATAATATAATTAGACTTGTTAGCAAGAGATCATTTCTCTACTAATGACAAATATTTATTTGATAGAAAATTCAACAATTATAAACCATTAACAAATATTGAGACTAAACATTTTTTTAGTTTTTGTTCAGAAAATAAGAGATAAATCGTAGAAAAGGTGATCATAAACGTTGATGAACCATAATCAGGAATAGAAGTATAGACTGATCGTCACTCTATAGAAAATAGATGCTTTAAATAAAATATAAATCACGTATAGATCAGTTATATAAGCTAATTATATGATTAATAACCTTTACAATCTAAACTATTCGATAATTGGATTATAATAAATGAATCAGTTTCAATGAAAGCACAAGTAAATGCAAACGCATAAAGTATGTCACATTTGCTTATAATCTTTATTTAAAATTCTTCTCGATTGACAACTAATTCTGAAACCGTGTAGAAATTGATGACTTTATCTGCATTGTCTCCTGTAGTAACAAGAAAGCGTAAATGTTTTCATAACATCGCGTATCTCTATGTCTGTTATCGGATGAAAAGTTAAACATCTGAAGTCATACGTTAAAGGAGAAACCAGTCGTGCAATATGCACGGGTTCTCGCTAGTCTAGAAATATAATTTACTCTCAGAATTCGTTTTCTAGTGTTAAAATTGTCATAAATTCGTTGATTTTGATGAATAATTACTGATATGTAGATTTGGATGTCATCAGATATTTATGATTGATTGATTCTTCCTTATGGACGATGATCAACAATGAGTGTCGAGAGATTTTATAGACATACAAATTTTGATATACTCTGGAATTTGAAGTTTAGTGATATATTAATAAAAGATAATTAGAGAAGAACAGTAATTGAAGAAGAACGATATTAGCAACGATAGTATCTTCGATCGATCAAAATAGTCTAATGATAGATGATTGACAATGAACATTTATTAAGTTAACCTAACTTGATTCAATCGATTAATAGAAAAAGAAATAATCATAGAATATTCTATTCGAATTTCTTATATTTTCTTGGATCAAACTAATTTATTAAGTATTACAGAAAAATATATATAACTAGGTGACATTCGAGTTCCACTCCTTTGATAAATGAGATGTAAAAAAAAAATGAATATCGATCATGGAAAAGATCAATTTATTATTTAATAATCTGTATGAGAGATTATTTATGATCAACTGTGATTGTAACTGAAATGAATAAAAACAGCTGATTGAGGCTATGAGTGAAGAGAATATTCACGTTGGAATTAAAAAAAGTAAACGTTTGTTTGTATACATCAACATGTATCCGAAAGACTTGTTTGATTGAAAAATAAATCAAGAATTTATTCCTTATAATATAATCATAGACAGAATCCATTGATACTATTAAAAGAATGTCATATTTTGCAAGATGAACATTGTTATAAATTGTTGACAGGAATGAGAGAGAGAAGATAAAAGTTTGACAGAAAGTGAACTTTTTTTTTGTTTTTTTGTTTTAGATCTCTTACTTCCGACAGAAATCTATTCAGATCAACAAAAACTTTATGTCACTCGTACAAACAAATGTCACTCGAAAATATATTTAAACTTAAGAACAAAAAAAACATTGAACAACTAGTCGAGTTTATATAACAAAGAAATTTACAAATAATGCAACTTATCAAATAAATAAACTTATTTATATTAACAGTTCTATAAGATGATTATTTATTTCGATAGAAAAAAACATTATTATAAAGATAACCATTGAAAATCGATGATAATGATTGTCTATAACATTGTATATATATGTTCGACCTAAATTTCTACTTTAATCAATTATTTGCAAAATAAAAATGTTGAACATTTTCTAAACGAAAGAAATTTATTGGTCATGACGAAGAATTATATTGATAATAAACATCATTATAAACAAGTGTATTTTATTGAAAATCTAAACTAGACGATCATTCATATGCTAAAATATATTTTAATATATCTTGTTTATTACCCAAAAATACATTATCAGATATTTAATCAACAATTTCTCGTCTAGCTAAATAGAATGTAACTTCAATGATAATACTATTTATCTTACTTCTATTTGATGCATATATAATTGCTCTTAAATAACCTTTTTCAATACTATAGAAATGTTTCGATACTAAAACACTAGAACCATCTGTTAAATAAGTTAATAATTGATTTTTTTCATGACCATCGTCAATTATTTATTAGAGGATAAATTTGAATCCAATCATTTTGATATATACTATTTTATAAATTTAGCCTACAATATGAGAACAAATATATTTTAGATTTTACGCCTTATAATTAGGAAAGATTTGAGATTAAGAATATTATTGTTATGTGCCGCTCCTTATAAGCCAGAATACATAACAACCTCATAAAAGAAAACGGTTAACAAACATTTATAAATATACGCATTTCTATGATCGTGACCAACGGCAGGCTTCATTCGCTTTTTGACATGGTTTGCCAGAACGGTAGAGATATGCCGGTTAAGTATTTTTGTGTCCTATACTTTGACTGATAGTCATTTTCTAGCTTTTGCTTTTCTGTAGACATCTTTAATAAAAGGTTGAAAGGCGTATCTCGACATAATGTTTTTCTTTCAACGTTTATATCATTTTTCCGAATCTTTCGAGTAGAAATGATAATGAATCATTGTACGAGCTTTCTCATTCTTGTAAGTATGACTCTAGTAGATAGAATATCAAAACAAACTTGATAGATTATTTTATTTTCTTATTCGAATAAATCTTATTCCGATTTTATATGAATTAATCAAACAAAATAATTTCGAACATGTTCGATAATCATATTCATGTTTATAATAGGTTATAAGACGATATTTAACATTAAGAATTCTATAGATAATTACGAAAATAAAGTAATCTGAAAGATTTTCTATCGATATTTTATTGATATAATATATAAAATGGTGATTCTTCATTTGTTAATTGTCTATACTAAATAGTACCATTCATAGCTATATTTAATCAATTTGTTATACGACTATAACCAAATAAAATTGACTCTTTAGATAAACAAGAAATTGAAAATCAATGTGATGATTATGTTCAATATCTATATGTTCACTAGTTGATGTAGGACATACTATTTGTATAGTTGCTTGATAATAATTTGTTTCTAATTTAAAACACATAACGAAATAATAATTGATCATATCTTGTATAATCTAATGATGATAAAGCTTCGTATTCACTATTTACAAAAACAATACTATTTCAAGATTGTGGTCTTTCAAAACTTCTAGAATAACAAAAAAAAAGCAAGTCAACGTTTTTTTTAAAATCAAATACGAACAGTGCTGAATGTGGTAATGAATATCCAAGAACGATTATTTCAAAAATTCTGGTTGAATATTTCAATAAAGTGTATAAAAAAGATTATCATCATAACATGGTATAGAAAATAATATTGAACATATATTATTGTTTTCAATTGTAAATGAATATGATGGTATTGATGTTTCATTACTTGAACAATCAATATTTTTCTTCCTATAGAAATGATTTTTGATAATCATAGAAATAAAATAAATCTCAATGTCTAAGAATATTTTTCCATGGTAACACCAATTTGATAAAATATTTAACAATAAGAAAATAATTGACGAAATCTATCATAATTATACATATCACCAATCATGACGGGTTCAATAATATATTTGAAGAAAGCCTTGATTATAGTTGTTCGAACAATATCAAAACGAATTTGTAAGACGATCAATTAGAGGATTAACCTATAAGAAAAAATATACAAGAAGATTTCAATTTAAAATAATATAACTAAAAGAAAAAAAAAACGAAACGATCCAAGATTTTGCTTTTCAGTTTAAAACATGGCATTACTGCAATAAAAAAACACTTGATAACTTATTTAAATTTCAATAGAAAAGCAATGTTTTATTTAAAAACTATATAATATCTGTAATTGGCAAGAATTATTGAAATGACAAAGAAGAGATTCGAAAAGAATCCTTTATGAGACCTGCTATTGATTAGTATCAATCGAACAATATCGACTAAAACAACATTTAAATGTTTTATATAGTACTTGTAAAATGAGCATCTTTGCAGGTATTACAATTAATAGCTAATTAACATTCTATCATTTTAAGGGTAGACTTATTGAATTTTTTTCTTAACTTTATTAAAAATAGAAGTCCAAAATATTTGTTAACGTTTGCTTTGAAAAGCTAGTTAATAAAACAAATGTATGAGTAATCAATTAGATAAGGGCACAGAACACTTTTTTTCATCCATTCAAAAAGACTTTGAAATTTCGGAATGAAAAAAAAAGCAGAAAATGATCAACGAGAAACAAACAACAACAATATCTATAAAATGCATTTCTTATTGATATAACTCACTTAAAATCATAGAATATTTAACTATAATCTTTAAGGTGGTCCTCATCTTCACGACTGAGACTCGACTTTTTTGTCGTCGAAGTTAATAAGATTATATTTTTCATTCTTACTTTATATTTTGAAAAAGAAACTTCATCAGTAAAATGATATTGAAATGTATTATGTCCATTAGTAATTTGTTGAATAACAAATTTTTTATTTATTAATCTCAAAAGAATAAGATCTTTTGGTGTATCAATAGCATTTAAATATCCTAATAATAATAAAATATTATTAGGTGTAAAATAAAGTTTAACATCAAATTCAATAGTTAATTTAATTCCAAACATAAGAATTAGATCTCCATTTATTAAATACGATTAATACCTCTTATGTATTATTATATATGATATTAATAAACCTCTTAATGGTCTATTCATTTATAGAATTCTTTCTATAGATAGTTCAACTTGTACACACATTAATTATCTAGAAACAAGAAATGATTTTCATTTAACATATCCATGATCAGAACGTTTTATAAAATCTAATATATATCCCACGAAAAAAAAAATTGTATAAAAACGCGTTCCAATGCAAACTTTCAGAGAAAAAACGCTGTTTTTGCGTTTAAACGCATCTTATTTTGTCCGAAACGCATCTAAACGCATCGGTTTTCGTTTACAACGCGTTTAAATGCATTTTTAAATGTTTACAACGCGTTTAAATGCATTTTTAAATATTTACAACGCGTTTTTTCAACTTAAAATGCCACCTAAAAACGTCGTTCGAACATGTTTTATTTTATTCGTTACGACGCGTTTATTTGTTATGCATCTTGATGCGTTTTTTTATTTCTTTCGCTGAAAACGTGATCTCTTTACAAATGCACCAAAACGCATATTTTTCAATGCGTTTTTTTTACTGGAAAACGGTTTTTCTAATAAAGGTGTCCGAACACGTGTTTCAATTCATGCCGTTTCTTGTGAAAATAAGGCATTACAAGCACTACGGAATGGATTTTTACATATGGATGACAAAGAATACACTAAAATAGGCGTGTCAAATTTTTATTTTCTGTTGCTTTCATTTGAAGATAAGCTAAATTATAAAAAAAATATTTTTAAAACTAAATATAAATTATTATCGTTTATATTTGAAATAAATTGAATATTTTTGTTTCGAAAATTTTATATTGTCGTAAGTCGCATTTTTTTCAAATATAAGTTAAGACAAGAATATTCATATTTATTATAAGTATAAAATATAATAAATTAATTTACTAAAATTTTAAATAAAAAAACTCCAATCTATTTTTTCATATAAATTATAAAAAATTATGTATCTCAATTTTTGAAATAATAGGAAAAGACAGCCCTAACTTTATAATAAAATTTCGTGTAGAAAATTATTTCTTAATTTAAGTAGAAAATTCAACAGTTTCACGAATGCGTAAGTATAGTCTAGTGGTATATTCTAGACTTCATAATTACAAGTTCTTCTGGTCGAATCTGCTCTACGGTAACAAATAGATGCGTTGCAATGCGTTCAGTGTGAACTACAGCTACATTAAATCGATAGACGAATATTTTCCGAGAGGAGATACGAATTCTGGAAAAGCGCGTTGCAGACAATGATTGAGTTGAAAATAACATTTTTTTCTTCAAAAATATTAGGTCTTCTTAGTCTGCTCAAACGCTTTTCGTTACTTCAAAAAACACGTTTCAACGCGTTTTAAAAACTGCGTTTAAGATCTAGCGAAAACATGCGAACCAGAAAAAAAACGCGTTGAAACGCAAACTTTTATAAAAAATTTTTTCATGGGTATAGCACGTGAATGTACTGACAAATCCGTAGGAGAAGATGTATTTGCTGCATCTTTAAACAGACCTACCAGTTGAATGTTGGATGTGTTTGATGTTGGCCAAGTTGTTATTACATAATTTACGTGAAGTTGCTCAAATATAAAATGTAACAACAACCATCGAAAATTCCAAAACAATAACATGGTTGTTTGAGTATTCTACTAATAAGATAGTTGAATCAAGTATGAAAAACAATAAACTATGCTAAAATTTAGACGGGATAGTAAGCTAATATGTATTGTTAAACTAAATATTTCATTGATAGTTGACTCATCATTATCGAGAAAAATAGAGCAAAGGGCGCGTCCCGTATTGCAGTATTTTAAAGTTGATGATGTTTGGAAGAAGATTGAGCTCTAGACAAAAACTTCGAAATTTTGAGAAAAATTGCATTGTGTTTAGCAGAATTTGTTCTACTGAATGTTGTCTTACACTATGATGTAGAAAATATATCTCGTCAAACATTGGACTTTGAAAATATGCGAGTGCAGAACAAACAAAACAATGGGTGAAAAACATTATCGAAATAAATGATCAAAGTTGAAAACGTTGTATGAAATAAGCGACACATCATACAATAGAGCAGAAAATATGATGCTCTAGAACAAACTCTACTTAGAGAGCACGTCAAAATGTATTCCGATCGGTTAGCCACCATTCCTTCATCCCTCTATTCGTTTTATTTATCTACTCTCGTTGTAATTCATTCTTGTTCTTTTATTCATTTGTTTCTCTACATTGCTATTGCAGAACATGTGATTTGCGTTGTCTTTATTCGTCCATAGTTGAATTTTTTTTTGATCATATTTCTTCAAAGATAACCAATCACTCTCTTTCAAAGTATTATTCACTTATTAAGTTATCCATTGCATATCCAAAGCAGCAATATACGCAATATACGCAATATATTCACACATTCTAGCGTAAAACTATTTGGATGTTCATATATAAAAAAATTTTCTTGTTTAACACATTCAGCCCGATATAATCCATCGGTGGTTCACACTATATTTTAAGAAGAAACTGTATAGAAAAACACTTTCTTTTGACCTTGAGGGTGAGGGTAAGGAGTAAGGAGTAAGGAGTGTAGGTATTTTATTTACAAGGAAAATTATGCTGCAAGCGATATGACCATTCTGCAGTTTCGAGAAAGCCTTGTGCGATCTTTACTCCTTGGTAGGCCATTTGAGAAGCTGAAACATGGTCCGAGACAACAAGCAGCAAGTCATTCGAAACGCAAACTCACTGATCACAAGCTCGAAGAAGAGGAAGGATCTGCGTGCAATGTCCCAAGGCGCTGTGCTGATTGCTATAAAAAAAAGTAGAGAACAACAATCAAGAGAAGCAACCTATGCGACAGCCAACAAACTAAAAATAAAAACTTTCTCTTCTCATTGTGATAATTTTTTTTGTATTGAGTATTTTAATAATAAGCATTGTGTTATGAAATAAAGGTTTCAAATAAAGTACTGGAGGCAGAACATATGACACCTTTTGTTTAACCTTCTGCTCAAGAAAAAAGCAAAAGAAAGTGCTTTTCTATACAGCTTCTCGTTAAACTATAGCGTCGCCCAACGGTGGGCGACATCGTGCTGAATGTGTTAAACACAAAAGAAACCCTACTGTTGTTTACTATAATCTACAAATTGCAGATCGTTAAATTGAAATAATGAAACGCAATCTTTAGCAAACTCTGTAAATTTCAACAAATTTAAAAATATAATTGAAATTTTAATTCGTTTTACAAATTGATATCAGTAAATTTTTTTAAAATTTGAAAACCCAAAATTTTAGACCTAAGTTTATTTTAAATTTGAATAAATTAAATTTAACAGATTTTTTTTAATTTCAATTTTATGTCCACAAATGAAAGGATACGGTTCAAAGAAGTCTGATCGATTCATCAAACAAATCGAGAAAGAGTTGTTAGACAAAGAGGAAGAAATCGATTTGCTAATAGACAAGATGGACGATTAACAATGTATGTTACTGCCCTTTTTACTTTTCTTATTCGTCATTAAAAGAATGGAATTTAAGATATTGTCCTTCTGATAATTTGTACATGTGAAATATGATATGTATGTATCTCAAGTTAACAATGTAGCAATATATGAAAGTAACATTGAACAATCGATAGAAATAGTACCTTGATAGAAAAACAGTTGTTCTACAGTAAAAAAAAGCTTTGTTAATTGATCGAGCATTATTGAAAACATCGATAATGACAATTCGAAAAATATTGTGTATAAAGTAAAATTTACAAAAACTCGAGCAAATATCGTTAGTATTCGGCTCATAATATTTCAGCGAAACCTGATAAAGATTTCAGCCTTTCGTAGATTGGTAGAGCTTGAGTTGGAAGTTCTAATTCACTTCTCAAAGTTTGAAATTGATCCTATCTTCACAAAGGAATGGACTACTCTTTCAAGAACAGCATGGATCACTAGCTATTAATGCAATGAATCTCAACAACTTTATATGAATAGATGCACTGAGTGTACTTCTTTCCAACGGTGAAAACCGTCGTTTTCCATATTGTACCTATCAAAAGTTATTCAAAAAATGTCTACCCGTTTTCGTTTTGGGAATGAACATTCGTTACTGGTATCACTTAAGGGTAGAAAAGTCTTCTGAACACTGATAGACTAAAAGGGCTTACGAGAGATACTGCAATATCAAAAGACTTACGTCTACTTCTAGTATTAATGCGATGTATATTGTAATGATGAATGTAACACGTTGATAATGTATCGATGTTGTTTAATAAAGAGAACGGAAGTATTATTTGCTTATGTACATATCGAAGTAATGTTTAGCTTGCGTGCATTCAACCGTATACGTGAGATAAAGAATGATCATATATTAATCAGACAGGCTGGTTTTTTCCAACAAAAATATTATGATTCTTTTGCTTGTTCTATCTTTTATCGATCAGACAGCTTGTATAATGAAAAGAGAGAGAGAGTTAATCGATGGTTGGAAAAATGTGCATAATATCACGGCTTTATTTTTCTTCCTATCCTTGCACAGGATAGGTAAAATATACAGGCTTCACAATTAATAGTAGGGTGGGTGTGGGTGTCGGTGTGTGGATGGGTGTGAGTGCGGTGTGGGTGTGGAAGGATGGAGTGTGGTTGCGGCTGTGGGTCTGGGATGGGATGTAATCTTCACCCATCCACACCCGCACCCAAAAAAGAACGTTCAAAAGCTCTTGCCTTCTTCAGAAAAAAGCCTTTCAATTAATCATTGCCTTCTATACATTCTGATCTTATTTTCACATTTAATAATATGGCAGTTATTCTTGATGATCTCAAGCGATGTAAGGAAGAATTTAACCGTATCAAAGGAGCTGTGGACATAGCTCGAGAAGGTTCTTTATTGTACTGTAATATTTAACATTTGGTGAACGATCCATAGGATCCTTTTCTTCACTTCTGATATAAAGTTCATCCGCAAGATCTATCTTTTACGATCATGCATTAGCT